AAGGAACGATTGGCCATCGGTGATCGGTCCTGTGGGAACAATGCTCCGTCCTCTCGAGGACGCGTGGTCAATGGTCTAACCGCTAAGACATGCAAAACATAAGAGTACGCCCCCCCCCCTCTCTGAGTATGTCTCATTTATCTTTTGTTGGCCTACCTCTTATTCTATTTGTATGTCTCTCGATTCCTACACCCTCCGGACCGTTCTCTACATGGATCCAACGTGGTGCTACTCTTTCAAGGAATGAACGCCTGTGCTGTCCGCCAATCTGTTGTGTGTCTCCTCCCCTTTAGCCCGATATCCGAGTGAGACTCCCGCCGCCCCCCCCCCCCCCCCCCCCCCCCCCCCCCCCNCCCCCCCCCCCCCCCCCCCCCGTCGACGCGCAGGCCGGCGACTTTACGGAGGTGATGATCCAGCCGCGAACCCTCCGCTCCCTGTACGGCGTGCCCGAGGGCGAGCGCGGCGGCTGGGCCGGCCAGGGCGACAACCGGCAGGGTGTCGCCGCTTTCAATAATTCATACCTGCACGTGAGGACACAGGACGCCGTACGCGTCTTGACGTGTGCGTCGGGTCTCGCATTGGTGCGCCAGCATCGACCGGTTTTGATTGCCTTGGTTTGCTGCCCAGTCAAAAAGCTCCAACGTTGTCAACGCGATGCCCGTGAGCATTGTTGGCTCGACTCGCCCGCTTCGGATTCCTCTCATACCCCTGAATTACCCGGGCGATCTCCTTGCCTGTCTCTCTCTGTCGCTCTCTCCCTCTCCCTCTTTCCCCTCTCTCATGTGTCGTTGTCTCCACGGCCCGAACAATCAGGCCGATCTGTGCGCTGCCCACAACCTTCTGGCCCCCGACTCCGATTGGTTGGCTCCTCCCGAGGTGACGGACTACGGGTCGAGGTTCGACCCGGACACGGACGCGTCGGAGAGCGACCTGGACACGCAGTACATGACGCTCATGGGCCCCGGAGTGCCGGTAGGACTTATCTCCGCTGTGTTGCCATGTTGTCTTTTTCCCTTTGTTATGTTATGTTTTCTTGCTGCACGGAATCTCTCTCTGCGTGTGTGTGTTGCTGTATCCTCCCCTGTTTTCGTTTGGTTTTTCCCCTCTCTCCTTGATTATTATTCTCCGTCTTCCTCTTGTCTCGCGTTTGTAACTCATGGCTTCCGAGGTGCGCCGGTAGTCACCTACTTCTCTTCTCTCCTCGCCCGCGGTGGTCTCGACCCAATTGACAGACAGACCCAGCAGGCCCGTCGCTGCCTGATTTTCCTGACCACAGGGAACGTGGTTCGCCCTCCCCCCTTCCCCCCACGCCGCCTTCTTCCATGTGAAATCCTGATCCCAGGTGACCTTTGCAACCTACGATGCGGGGGAGTGGGTCCTGGACTGGGCCACAGAGGCTACCGAAGGCCATCTCGCACCTGAGAGGGGCGGCCCGCTGGTGAGAGAAGTCGGCTCTGTTCATGGGCACACTGCCACGGTGTGCTGTAACTACATCGGACACTTCGAGGATGGGCTGGGGTGACCGGAGCAAGGTGGTATGCTTATGGGATTGGGCTGGTCCACGTCGTTAACCAGCTGTTGCCGGAGTGCATGCGACGCTCAGGCATCGTTTGCGGGACGAATATACAACTCCGTGGTGACACTTGCTTTTCTTTTTTCTGGTGTGATGCTCGGGCGCGGTGTGCATGTGCAGTATTGTACTTGTGTGCGGTAGCAGTGAAGTGCATCGCTACGCAGTGGCGAGTCGCGCTCTCTGTGTCCTTGCTGCCGTAGCTCTTCCGGTGGATATATAGATGCATATAACTTGTTTTCCCACCCGCGAGTCTGTGCTACATCATTACGCGACAAATACTACTGCTTTACCCTGGATCTGGAATGATATTTAGCAGGCAAGCATTTTGTATGTGGTGCCAATCGTTTGACGACCGGAACAAAAAATGAACATCAACGACAACAAGGATTTGCTTCGCAGCTGTTTTTCAAGTATCAAACGACGAGAAACCACAGAACTGCACATGTCACATTTTTCTAGAACGCCCGAGGATCTAGCGATTTACGCAAAAAATTGGAGGACAGAGCATGCAACAAGGACTCCGGCGGCGGCACGTAAAATTTGTGCTTACGACGCGTTCGCCCGCATCGAGCACGACACATCGGTGTCTTTTTTTTCCATGGCAGCTTTGTTGCTACAGTACTCCGAAGTATTTCGAAGCCTAAGAGCACGCTCTGCATACCTGACTGAAAAAACAACAATAAGACACGACCTCGAGTCATCTTGGTGCCGTCGTCGCAGGTGTGGTCGATCAGCTACGGGTTCCCGGAGGCGTGGACTTGCTACGCCGAGCCAGGGATCTGCGACAACGAGGCCGGGGCGCCGCATGGGTACGATCCCTCCGTCTACCTCCACAGGGCCAACAACGAACTCAAGAAGCTCGCCGCCCTGGGTGTGAGTGGAGTAACGAAGACGCTCATCGTCGCACAAGAGCACAACGGCGCATGGTTTTGTTCGAGAATATTCATACAGCACAGGAAGACCAAATTGCCCGTTGGAGATATAACCACAGTCGAAAGGGATGTGCTGAAGTCCTTTGAGTGATTATAGAGGTTTAGTAGCGTGAAATTTTGAAATTCTCATGTTCTTGTCCTTCTTGTTCCGTGCTCCCTGACCTTGCGTCCATGAGGCAGGCAGGTTGACGGGTGGTGCTGGATCAAAGTTGGCCCAGCATCTACCGCTCCTCCCCGCGTTCGATTGAAGCCAAACATTTTCTCGCCGTTGAGTGCTGGTTGGTTGGTTGGTGCATTACAGTAAGCGTTTTTGGCCTACGCAGGGGTTCTTAGTTCCTAGGGTTGTGCTTTGCTACAAACGGCCGCTTCATATCGGTTTTCTTGGCTGAGATCTCAAATCCTGCTCGAGTTGTTAGTTGTTTTCGAGGCAGCATCGATGAATTTCTTAACGGCTAAATTCATACGTGCCGGCGCTAACTGGCTGCTGTATGCATGCATGTATGTATGTATGTATGTATGTATGTATGTATGACAGGTGTCAGTGCTGGTCTCGAGCGGAGATGACGGCGCTGGTCAGTCGCCAACTTGCCCGGTGGACCCTAGGCTGCCGGTAGACGTGTCAGGCGGGGCGATCGAGGGGGTGGCGACGACTTGCCCTTTCGACAAGAGGGAGGATTGCAGCTGCGGGTCTTTCGAGATGAAGCTACAGGCGTGAGTCGTTCGTCGTGGTCGATATGTGGTGGAATGCTGAACTGGGGTGTGTTTTTTTTAGTACGCCGAAGGTCCTTTGTGCATGTCCGTGGTTGACTGTGTTGATGCTGATGCTTTGTGATGGATCCCTCCTCATCTTTCTCTCTCTCTCTCTCTCTCTCTCTCTCTCTCTCTCTCTCTCTCTCTCTCTCTCTCTCT